TCACCCACGGTAGAAAGTAAATAATGGTGTGAGACAGAATTCTAAAAGACAAAACAAAACTAAAAGTCCTTGCCAACATCTTGAGCACGGAAGGGGGAACACGTAGAAAGGAGCACGTAGAAGAAGCTCTATTTTGGTTATGCTTAATCTTGATTTATGTCTGGAACCCTGAGTGGGGTGATGTAATGCACCTGCCAAGTTCTTTGATCTGTTTTGTACAAAAACTGAAGCTTTACAGAAGTAAAATTGCAGCAGATTTTCACTACACAGTGTGTCTGTCTGTCATTTCCCTTGCATCGTATCCTGACTATCCTATCCTTCACCCTGGTCTCCCGTGGGTGGTGGTCTCCGAGAGGGACGGTCCGCGGCATTTTGCCAACGAAACATTCTGTGAGAATAATTTCTACTATGGTCCTTAGCTAGAATATAAATGAACTGAAGGCAAACAAGCAATCCAACAGACTCTCATGTTGCCTGGGCAGGCTTATACAGGGGACAACCTTCAAACGCTCACTCCTCCTGCCTCCTACTCCCAAGTACTGAGACAACAGACATGCAACATCACATCCAGCTTTGAGTTTCTCCATCAGGCATTACTGAGCACATTTTTCCCTAGGGATTAGCCAATCAATAAAGGAATCGTGTACACAAGTGTGGTGGTTTGGATGGAAATGGCCCCCACAGGCTCATAGGGAATGGCACTTTTAGGAGGCGTACCCTTGCTAGAAGAAGTGTGTTACTGGAGGAGGTCTTTGAGATTTCAGATGCCCAAGCCAAATGTCTCTTCCTCCTGCTGCCTGCCAATAAAGATATAGAAATCCCAGATACCCCTCCAGTACCATGTCTGCCTGCAAGCCAGTTTCCCACCATTAACAACCTCTGAACAATAAACTAGCCCCAATTAAATAGAGGCTTTATAAGAGTTGCCGTGGCCATAGAATCTCTTCATAGCAACAGAAACCCCTAAGACAAGGTACCACTAAATTGTTTCATGATGCAGACAACCCTATGCCTACCAGTAATACTCTCAACATAGAGGCACAGATTACGTTTTCACATAACTGATACTGCTTTCTCATTTAAGGACTTCGGTCATTTCTTCAAGAACAGTCACCATCAGAAATCCTGTATTTTAAAAAGTGACTTAGAAAAACAACTCTTGTCTAACAGTAACACCAACCAAAACCTATTAGTAGCAGGAGTCTTGCGTTTGCTTCAAAATATTTAAATTTTAAATTATTAATTTCAGAACTATGGCATCGCCATCAAATATATATATATATAAAAGTGTGCTGCATCTACAGTGAATGCTATAAGCCTACAGTGTCACTCAGGGGCAGTCACATGAAACCCAGATGGCAATCCCTGCCACCATCAGAGAAACCATGTCAAACAAAATCCAGCACATTCTGAGGCAGAACTTAGAAACTACCATGAAATTTTATGTTTCAGAACTCCATTCAGATATTTCACTATGTATTTATCCCTCTTTATTTAGTGAGTTTATACTGAATTCTATCTATCACACATTACCTCTCAGCACATAAAATACAGAGAAAAAGTAGAACTTAAGAGATTTTCCAATCAGAGCAATCTTTCCCAAATGAAACAAGTTCTTGATGAGTTTCTTATTTATTTACACTGCATTATTGGAGTCACTGGCTTATTCTTCAAGACGAACAACACATAATATTAATACAGCATTATATTCCAAGGACAAAGAATGGCATCTATCATAAACTAAATGCTTAATAAATGAACTGGGACAGAGGGACATCACCACAGAAAAAAACAGTTCTAGACATGTGTTATCCACAATAGCCACTAACGTGTGTTCAGTATCAGCTAACAGAAGAAAACTCAAAACTCAATTCCTAAATTAAGCAACATGCACAATGTAGATATTAAATTAAGAATTTCTTTTTACATGTGTACATATATGCATATGATTTTTTAAAAAGAATTTGCAATTGCTTCAAAAGCTGAGAAAGACAACGTTATTTGGCATAACTGAAAGAAAATTTAGATAGTTTCCAATTCTTTTCAATATGAACTCACCATGAATCTCTTTGATACGCAGTGTATTCTGATGCATTCCATATTTCAGAATCAACTGCTCCAGATAGTAGAACGTTTTCTTGTGAAGAGTCTAAACATCCATGCATCAGACAATCAGTACATTATATGCCAAAAGACATTAGTAAGTATAGTACACATCTATCATCTGCAGATATAGCACATCGATTTCTTCAAACAAAAACACCCTTTAAAAATTAACTAAAACATAAAATAGTGATGTATTTCCAAAGTTGAATGTTCCAGAAACCTAGATTCTGGTCATACATCAAGGGAACAGAGAAGGTTTTATCAGCAATGCTAAGTTCATGATGCAGAATTCACTCGTTATCTGTTTTCAGTACCTTCTGCCTGACTTGAATCACGGCCTTCCAGAAATCCTTAGCTTCTACTCTATGGCAGTCTCCACACATTTGGGACTGAACAACATAGTCCACCACAAACACTTGCTGAAGGATAGCACCATTCATCACCTGGAAAAGAAAGCAATTGCACTCCTTCACTCTTACAGCTCTGTCCAATAGGGACCGCTTTCTTTATTAAAGAAAAATAAGTAATTTGAAACTTTTTTCTCTGAATGCATTAAGGACACCAGTAGGCTAAAGTTAAAATTATAAAATTAAGATATACTACCTATTTTGGGAGAAGAGAGGGAACATACAAGGATTGAACATGGGGCCTGATGCACGCTGGCCAAGCACTCTAGCACTGAGCTACTTCCCTGATGTGGGATTCCCCTCCATAGGCTGGGAATGCCATTGGTTAATAAAGAAACTGTCCTGGCTTGTGATAGGGCAAAAGAGTAGAGCTGTGTGGGGAAAACTAAACTGAATGCTGAAAGAAGACTCAGGGAAAAGCCATGTAGCCCCACTGGAGACAGATGCCGGAACTGATAAGCCACAGTCTTGTGGGGATACAGATTAATGAAGATGGGTTAATTTAAGATATGAGTTAGCCAGAAATATGCATAAGCTAATAGGCCAAGCAGTGTTGTAAATAATATTTTATAAATAGAAATTTTAAAAATATAAACATTTTATAAATAATAAATATAATGTGTGATTATTTTGGGTCTGGGCAGCCAGGAACAAACACACAGCCTTCCTACAACACTCACCCCAGTGGTAAGTTATACTGTTTTAAGAAAGGTACACATGAATTCCAAGTATTAGATTACCATTTTAAGTTTACCTCTAGAAAAAGTGGTTGTGAACATATTTTTTTTAAAACTTGGGGGTAGGAGCCGGGCAGTGGTGGCACACGCCTTTAATACCAGCACTCGTGAGGCAGAGGCAGGCGGATCTCTGTGAGTTCGAGACTAGCCTGGTCTACAAGAGCTAGTTCCAGGACAGGCTCCAAAACCACAGAGAAACCCTGTCTCGAAAAACCAAAAAAAAAAAAAAAAAAAAAAACACTTGGGGGTAGGGATGTGGCTTGATTGGGAGAGTGCTTGTCTGTCACACTTGAAGCCTTAGGTTTGATTCCCACTGCCATATAAACCAGGCATGCTGGCACACACCTAAAATTTCAGCATTTGGGAAACAGTCTAGGAGTATACAAAGCTTAATGGTAGCAAGCTCACCTGGCACACCTAAGACCTTAGGCTTGATCTTTAGTACTTCAGGAAAATAATAATAAACAAATCCAGAGATTCTGATTCTGCTACTGTGATATACGATAATAAGTCAAACTTAAGAATCAGTCTTAGCTAATGTTTTAACTTCAATCTTTTTAAAATTAATTATTTTTGCTTTTTAAAAAGTTTTAACTTTTAACTGTGTATAGATGTGCACATGAGTGCAGGAAGCCATGGAGGCCAGAAATAAGTGCTGGATCCCTTGGAACTGGAATTACAGGTGGCTGAAAGGTGCCCAATGTTGGTGCCAGGAACTGAACTTTAGTCCTCACAACCCTGGGATTACAGGCACCAACAACATACGGCTGCTAAAAATAACTGAGGGCTGGGCATGGTGGTGCACACTGCCTTTAATGCCAGCACTCAGGGGCAAAGGCAGGATTTCTACTTAGTAAGCGCTAGACCAACAAGGGCTATCTAGTGAGAGCCTATCTTAAAACAAAAACAAAACCTTTAATGAGACTACTGAATCCACTAAATTGAGCAATGGTAGCTATTAGTGACCCAATTATAAGTCAGATAATTAAAAGATAACAAAAGACTAAGATTTAAATTATACTCTTCCTTTTAAAGCATTTAGTCCATAAAATAATTTACCATTAGTCCCTCATTCTCATGACTTCTATTTTAACCATATTAAAGGAAAATTGAATAGCTTACCTCTTTCTGAATTGTCAATTTAACTTTAAGCCTCTTGGAATGGGGCTCAGTCCAAACAAAGCATGCATCGACAAGGCGAACCTTCATAAAATATTGAAGAAAAGAACGGAAACTTAAGTCCCCATCTGAGAGACGGAAAGATGAATGAATACCTCATTCATAAACAACTCAGATCTTTGAAGGAACATGGGGTTAACATCATTACAACACTCACTACAAACAAGTAAAAGGTCTATCACTAAAGCCATGGCAACAAAAGTAGCACATGAAAGGGCAACCTAATGGTTGCACAGTGAGCCAAGAAAGAACTATAAAAAAAAAAAGCTACTGCTCTTAAAATATACAAATATAAAAATTTTTAAATAACAAACTGATGACTTCATTATGCAAAAGAAACACAATTATTCTGTAAATAAAAGTGTCTATTCAAGTTAATATCTTTCTATGTTGGACTATAGATTTCCCTCCTCCCCCCTTTAAGAATGGACATTTGCTGGAGAGACAGTGGCTGAGAGCACTGGCTGCTCTTCCAGAGGACCCAGGTTCAATTCCCAGCACCCATATGGCAGCTCACGCTTGTCTATAACCCCAGTTCTGGGGCTTCTGACACCCTCACACAGATATACATGTAGGCAAAACACCAAGGTACATAAAATAAGTTAGGAAAGAAAGAATGGACATTCATTTGAGAAGTATTCATGTACTGACTACATAACTGTAACACTCACTGACAGATAAGGAACTAAAAACAGTTTGCTAATCTTGATGACTGAATATAAAACAGGCTAGAATGAGAACTTTGAACAAAAAGACTGAGAGAACAAGATGGAGCCTTTGTAATAATCTGAGTAGAGACCTGAACTAAGAGGAACCAGAAATAAGAGAAGCAAGAGCAGCTACTTAGGAGATAATTCTACAGATTTAATATCTATAGATTAGAAAGAAGAGAACACACACCAGCACAGAGTCCAAGTATCCAGCTTAGGCAGCTGGATAATACAATTTTTTTTTTTTTTTTGCTTACAAATAAGCAACAGGTTTAATAGAAAAAGATCGCTTCATGGCATCTATGACACACATAAGTGGACAGTATGATACTGGTCTGGAGGTGCAGGGAGAAATCCGTTAAATAACGGACTAAAAAGTATGAGCAAGCAGATTAAAACTGTATCAAATATTGCCTGGTGAGAAAAGACTAGCCACGGCAGATGCAGTACTAAAACGGAAAACCCACCCAATATGACTGAGGAGGCTACAGCAAATCCCAGTAGTCAAGAAACCAAGTCCAACAGAAGATGAGCAGCTTCCTAACCAACGCCCCCGCAATCTTATAGTCCTCCCCACCACCGCTGCCACCGCCCCATTTCTCTCTGCGGAAGTTAAGAGGAGGAAATGTACACAGCACTAAATAGGTCTGTGCTCTGTCTAAAGGCTCTAACCTCCATCTGCAGAATGGGGAGACTCTGATATCCACTTCAGCATTCAGAAGGCTCACCACACTTCTCCTCAGACAGGCAATTGCCAATGGTATCGAGTCCTTTGTCCTTTACCCTAACTGTCGCAGTCACCTTTCCATTTCCTTCAATTAATTTCCATATGGTTCTTCAGTCTCTTCTGCCCCCATCTAACCAACCCTAAAATCATTTTACTATGTTCTCTATTTACACAAAACTTTAAAAAAAAAAAATTCAATGGAGCATCTCTTTCCTTTCCTTTCTAGTTGTCATAACTACATTGTTTCCCTCCAGACAATTAAAAAAAAAACCCTAGACAAATAAGAGCTTGAAAGATTTCAGACCTTAATTAAAAGTATTACTGCTAGAGCTGAGGCAACGGCTCAGTGGTTACGAGCACTTAGTGCTCTTCCAGAGGACCCGAGTTCAATTCCCAGCTCCCACGCATCTGGAACTCCAGTTCCAGGGGATCCCAACAATGTCTTCTGGCTTCCAAAAGCACTGCACACACATAATGCACAGACATACAAGCGGGCAGAACACCCATACACATAAAATAAAAACAAATAAGTCCCCAAATTTTTCTAATAAATAAAAATGTTACTACTGAATAAAGGGCAATATAAAAATTAAGTGTGTGTGATCAAAACATTTGTAATGGGACTAGCAAAATGGCTCAGTGGTAGAGTACCTGACAAATATGGGCAAAGTCCTTGGTTTACTCTCCAGCACCAAAAAGTAGATGAAAGGAAAAGAAAAATAGGAGCAAAACAAACAACAGTCACCAAAACAAAGCAAATTCCACACGGAAGGATTTTCTGAAACTGAGTGTTTTAACCATCCCACCTACCTTACTTAGAGATGCTTTAATTTTTTTCAAGCACAAAGCAAGAAGCTCCCTGGACTCTAAAGCACACTGTATCCACGATGCTGGCGGCTGAAAGTATCTGAAAGAAGATAACACACTAAGTCTGCCATTCATTTCCATAGGCCCTGCATAACTTACACTGATTATTAACCAGAACCAATACTCAAAGCTACTCTGAAACCTTAATCCAAAAGATTAAAAACCTCATGAGAGACCACTGTCTTTAGCTCAAACTGAAATTCTGAGAAAGCCAATATGAGATATTTACTATCTGTTTTATCACCTCAATTAGTAAAATCGCAGTTAGGAGGCACTGAAGATAGCTCAGAGATCAAAGTGCGTGCTGCCAGGCCTGACAATCTGAGTTCACACAGTGGAAGAAGAGAACCAAGTCCAAGTTATCCTCTGACAACAAAGTGCACGTACATACAAAACAAATCCATAAATGTTAAAAAAAAAAATACAAAATTCCAGTGAGGAGGGCTGGAGAGATGGCTCAGTAGTTAAGAAGACTCAAGCTGGGTTTCCAGCACTCAATACTGGCAGCTCACAAATGCCTGGGAGTCTAGTTCTAAGGAGATTTGGTGCCCCTGGCCTTCAGGGCATTGCACTCCTATGCACATGCCCACACATACACCAATAAAATAAAAATAAAATTTTTACAAGTTCCAATAAGGATGGCAAAAATGCCCAAAATTTCCTGGAAGCTATACTGACAATCACATAAAAATCAAGAGAAAACTACACTAAAATTGTTTATTTTTTACTTCTAAAATGTTTAAGAAATGTTAATTTCTCACAGACAAAAAACAGAAACAGCACAGCATAGCACTGTGTATCAACAACAGTTCGACACAAATTCTATTTCAGTTTTTAAGCTGAAAAACAAATTTTCATAATAAGCCTTAGTTAGCCAAGCTTGGGGGCACACATTTCAAGGTTCAATAAAAACCATGTTTATAATACTTTCAAATATTACCTATCATCTAATAAAATCCCTTCAGGAAGTTCAGACTTAGAGAGACCATATCTAAGCCATACAGAAAACTAGTTGGGAAGAAACCCAAGATAAACTAGGTGTCCCAATTCTTTGTCTAATACTAAACATTTATAACAAATCAGCAGCCTCATATCAGGCTTAAACACTGTAAATTGCCTGAGATAATACACTAAGTACATGGACTTATATATGTGCACACCGAGATATTATTCTGGGGAGACACATTTTAAATTCTTGGGAAGGTCCAGACAATCTCCATATAAACAAAGCCAAGTGCTATTTGGGAAAATACAGGCATATAATTTTCATATTCACCAGCAAGTTTTGTGTCTCTCAATGGACCACCAGATGTAAATAGCTTATGCCAACAACTAAGAGAATGAAACCAAAGACGAATGAAATATCAACTCTCAGAAGTCATCTTCTACTGTCAAATTCAAAATGCTATTTATACAAATACTTTTATCATCTTTACCAGATGAGTAGGACCATAGAACGCACACTATAAAATTGCAAATTATTAAATCCTTAGTACCATCACCTAAGTAGAAGTTAAATCCCAACTGCACATGCTTCCTTCTGTGTACTTTGGTGTATTCTCAGCACAGGGGCTCTCTCTCTACATGAATAAAAACTTAAGAAAGCTAAACAACTAATGTACTATACTATACCTTTGGCACTGCTTGCAGAAAGAAATGGAGACCTGCTTTGGAACACCTTGGCTGATGTCAACTTTACTTCGTAAACAGGCCACACACACATTGGCAGGATTTGGACTAATTGGAACGCCACACTCACAGCACAAGCTTGAGAAAATAAAGCAAAAAAATTTCCAATTAGATCTTATAAATTCACCAGTTAAATAAAATTATATATATACACATATGTATGTATGTATGTATGTATGTATGTATAAAACCCTACCAAACCAGAGACCAAACATCGATTTCTAGCACCCAAGTGGTAGTTCACAACCATCTGTAACTCCAGCTCCAGGAGATTCAACCCCTCTTCTGATCTCTGTGGGCTCCTGCACGCACGTGGTACATACACATACACACATTCATGCACATTAACGCAACTTAAAAAACAAACAAAAAAGACAAGCTGAGCATGGTGGGAACCCCCTTTAATCTTAACAATCAAGAATCAGGGAACACTAATCTTTGAGTCCCAGGCCAGTCAGAACTCTATAATGAGGCGCTGTTTCAAATGGGGGTGGGGCATGGAAGGCTGGCACCCTAAGGAAGAAATAAAGCAACCTTAAAGACAGAGTGAAGAAGAGCCCTGGACCAAGCAGAGCTACAATTCTGAGAATGCCAAAAGCATGGCACTGTGCGACAGAACTTCATGCAGTGATAGAAATGCTGTCCTTCATCATCCCTTCTTCAAAGCCGAAAAACAATAAAAAAGATTAACAATGCAAATAGCATAACATCAGTGGCAAACACTGAGGCACATTCCATGTGAACAATATAAGACAGGCCAGTGTGGTGGTGAGCACCTTAGTCACAGCACCAAGGAGGCAGAAACAGGCAGATCTCCGAGTTCCAGGACAGCCAGGACTTAACATGGTGACAGTACCAACAGCCAACAAAGAAACAACAAGACAAACAGAGCATGGAAGAGCAGTTTCTCTTTAATCTTGTAAACACTGACCAGTTTAGGGCACATCTGACTACACAGATGTTTTCATTCTGAGCACGATCTCCACATTAGAAACAGTTCAGTACTGGGACTCACGGTAAAGGAAAATGTACATATAACATGAAAACAGAAAGGAGATTATTACAGGAAGGGAAGGGGGGGCGGTGAAGCACAGTGGTAAGGGAAATATGAGCCCTGAACAATGTTAAATATATGTGTACTCATATGCACATACTATACATCAAAATGTCATAATGAAACCATTACTTTTTATGTTAAAAATTAATTTTAAAAAGAAAACTACACTAAACTACAGGGCAGGAAGAGCACCTATGTCTACTGAAGCTCTAGACAGAAGTATAACTCTATAGTGTACTGGACGCAGACTTGGGAGGCTAAGGCGGGAGGGACAGGTCCTCAAAGTCAGTCCTGGCTACATCGCAAATTTCCTGCCAACTGGGGCTACACAGTAGGGCTCTATCTGAAGCAATTAAAAATTAAAAAAAATAAATAAATAAAGGTTGTTAACCACTGACATTGTTGCCCAAAAGAAAAACATAACTAACTTCCTGGGGTAAAATATATTTTAAAAAATATAATAAACTTCCATATGTGAGCACTTAGCGTGTGGCTCGTATGTCTGAGGTTCCGAGTTATAAATGAAAATATCCACGTGTGGAGAATGACTACGCAGCGCACTGTCTCTCCAGCAGACGTCTAGTAAAACCCCTTCCCGAAGCATGCATTTCTCTAGATCTAACTTAAAATGAACTGAATAACTTAACTAGATTTCTTAAGGGATTAAAACTTCATTTTTTTCCCCCCAATTGAGAAAAGAGCTCCTGCCACTGAAAGTTTCCTCAGGAAGTTTTCCGGGGCTCGCAACTCACATGTGTCCCGGGCTGCGGTCGGCGGGTTCTGTCATGTACTCCATCGCTCCGGATCTATCAAAGGAAGGGGGAGAACCGGTGAGCTTTGCACCCCGGGGCGTCTCCCGGGCGGGGCGGCTCCGGGGACCCCAAGGCCGCCCGCCGCGGCCCCGCGTGGGTCCGGCCGCCGCCCCTCCCCTCCCCGCCCCGCCCCGCGCTCCAGCACCCACGCGGTCCGCTCGCGGCCGGCCTGCACCTCCCGGCCCGCTCCCTCCTCCGCCCACGGCCGGCGCCAGGAGCCGCACCGCGACCCCAGAAGGAACCGGCTCCTGCCTGACAAGCGGAGGCACAAGCTCAGCCGTCAGCTCCGCCCGCCCCGGGATCCCTCACAGTTGCCTCAGCTGGCCACGCCACCGGGAAGATGTCGCGAGAGGAGGACCGGAAATCCCGTGTGCAGAAGGACGCCGATAAGAGGAGCGAGTGGGCGGGTCAAAAATACACGTGGAGCAAAGGGCGGGGCCTGTGGAGGGGGAGGGTGCGGGAGGCGGGGCGAGCTGGCAGGAAATGGTGCAGCTTGGGTGATGTAGTCACTGCGGCTTTCACCCCGTCACAGAGCCTTAAAATGCTCTGTCTAGGGCCTGGAGGGCTGGCTCACAGTTTAAAGGCAGCTGTTCTTCCAGAGGCCTGGGTTCAGTTTCCAGCACCCACGGCTCAGCCATCTACGGTTCCAGTTCTGTAGGATCTGAGGAGAGACTCAAAGTCATGTCCTTCTGAAGATGTTACTGAAGGAAATAAACTAAGAAAAGGGAAAACAGAAACAGTTTCCAGGAATTATCAGTAGAGTTCAGCAAAAGCAGATCACCAGCCCATTTGTAGCGGTCCAGAGGCTCTGAGACAAAGAAACAAAAATTAACATCTGTAATGCTTTGGAACTGCTTCAGAAGGAGATACATAAGGAACTGGCAAAATTTCATACTAATGAGGGAAATCTATAATGAATCTACACATATAAATTCAACAACTTGGATGCAATAGACCATTTCCTTAAGTCCACCAACCAGCAATACTCTCTTAATGTAAAAGTACGTGAGTCGCTCATTCACTACGAAGGACCTGGAATGTGAAACTTGAAAAAATCTTCCCATTCCCACCTCCAAACCACGAGGTCCAAATCATTTCACTGGAGAACAATGCCACATGTTTAAAAAACAGCAGGCACAAATCCTGTGCACTCTCTGCCAGGAGAGAGCAGAGAAAGGCAAATGGCATTATTGTTTACATGGGAAATCCCAAGAAAAATTCCTAGAACTAGTAAGTGAACTCAACAAGATATCAAGGTACAAGAGAAACATACAAACATTGCTGAGATGTATTTGTATGTCTATGTATGTGTGTCTGTGTAAGTGTGTATTCCATGTGTATGCAGGTGCCTATAGAGGTCAGAAGAGGGTGTCAGATCAGGTGGCTTTAAACTGCCCAACATATAAATTCTGAGCTGAGAACCGAACTCTGGTCCTCTGAAAGAGTAGCAATGATCTTAACGGCTGGGCCATTTCTTCAGCTCCATAAGTTATGTATGTTTTATATACACATAATAAATATTGAAAATTACTGCAACATAAATTACAGCTACTTTTTAAAAGATATGCTTAATTTCTACTAAAGCAGACAAGAGTGTCTATTTTCTCCATTTTCTGTATAGTACTGGAAGTTTTAGCTAGAATGGTAAAAACAAGAGACATAATATAAGGAATACAAAGAAGAAAGAAAGAAATCCAAGCAGTCTTATTTGCAATGATAAGTTCCTATACATAACAGACCTAAGGACTCCAACAGAAGTCTTGTGAAAGCATTACCTTCCACAGTGAATTGTTCTTTTCCTACCTGGGGACAGCTGCAAATATTAGCCAACAAAGGAGAAGAGATCGTTCTTCATCTGGGGCAAAATAAAGCCCCTGAAACCTTGTTTTGGCCACGTTAGCCAAGTAAGCGAAGCAAGGTGTTTTTCTTACTGGGCTTATATTCCCAACCATCCCTTAAGCAAATAGTGCACTGGGGATCCCACGATTCCATTTTATACTAAAGACTCTAGTTGGATTAAAGGACTCCATGACAGTTCCCAAAGAAGAGGGTTTAAACCTTTTAAATAGGAGTAGAAGGACTTCCTACTTGCATTGGGCATGAAGTTCATTGCTTTAAAGTTGTATCTAGTGGACAGTTATTCATAATAGAACCAAAAATGAAGGTAAGAAGAACCTGTTTATTTTAATAGCTAAGGGGGTTGAAGGAAATACTATGAATGAGCCTTTCATTCCACTTCATTTTTATTGAAAGGTATTGCTGATGGCTTGGAGAAGTTCAATTCATTTAATCAAGCTAAGATGGCAAGCTTCTCCTATGCTGTAATGTTTACATTGATTGTTTGTTTGGTATTGCTATTTTTAATGGTCTGAAGAAGAAAGCCTCCCAACATCAAGAAAAGACTCAACATTGAGCAGCTGTATTCCATATTACGTTACAAAATATGACTAAAGGAAAAGGGGGAAATGAAGGAGATTTGTTGAACTGAAGTCAGGCCAGAATAATGTACTTGCCAGGCGTCCCTGGAAAACAAGAGGATGCTCACAGAGTTTTGGCAGCATACTGCCTTTACACTCCAACAAGTATTCCCTTGGCCAGGCCTCAAGTTCTTCACATTTATCTTCTGGAAAAAGGATTTAATTAGTAACATATAAAAAGCTGCTCTTTGTCCAGTAAGAAAAAAGCCCACATAACAGATTGGTTTCTTATGCTCTCAGTATTTTGTAACCAGACCTGCAACCGTACAATATGGGTAAGAACAAAGGCTCTGCACTGAATAAGCTGATTCCTTTGCTGGTCCTCGTTTTCAGTGTCCACGGTCCCAACCCTGACCTTTCACAAGAAGATCCAGATGTAAGCCTACACAAATGCAGCCCGAATCTTTTTACAGAGATGCCCAAAATACCCACTCATAAAAAGACACTCTTTGACCATGGTGCTAGAGAAAATTGATTATCACATGTAGAAAAATGAAGCGAGATTCCCATTTTGCATCCAGCACAAAAATCAATTCCAAGCGGTTCAAAGACCCTATTGTAAAATGTGAGACAGAGGAAAAACATAGCAAGTACATGAGGAGATACAGGCACGGGTAAAGAGTTCAGGAGTAAGGGTCCAACTGCTCAGAATATAAGGTGAGCAGTCAGAATGGGAGGACCCCAAAATAGTCAAGTTTCCATAGTCAAAGAAGACAGTTGATCATGTGAACACGCATCCTACTGAATAGGAGAAAACCTTTGCCAGCTATGAATCTGACAGAAGGTTAATAGCTAGAACACACAAGAAATAAAAACGAGAAATAGTCTAATGAAATGAGCAAATAGTTCACAAAAGATGAGATCCAAATGGCCAATGCAAAAAAAAAAAAAAAGTTCAATCTCACCAGCAATCAGAGAAAGGTGAATCAAAACTACCTTAAGATTCCATCTCACCCTAGTCAGAATGTCAGTCATTAAGAAAACAGACAACAAATGCTGGCTAGGACCTGGACAAAAGGGGTCCTAAGTACACTGCTGGGGAGCATGTGAACCCTTCCAGCTTCTACGCTACGCAGTGTTCTAAACCAACTAGATCTGTCATGTGACTGAGCTGTGCCACCCCTTGGTATTCGCTTGGCGTCAACACACCACACTGCATGGCATACCACTGTTTTCTGCAGGCCCAGCCACAGTAGTTAAGCTATGGAATCGATCCAAATGTCCAACAGCAGAGAAGTGCATAACGAAAAGGTCATTTATGGGTACAATGGAGATGCTTTTCAGCCATAAAGAATGAAGCCGTTTGTAACAAAATGGATGCACCTGAAGGCAATCGTATTAAACTCACTGAGCCAGTTATAGAAAGACAAATCTGAGATGCTTTTTCTCATCAAGACATGGTGATCAGCAGGAAATGGCTAGAGGAAAATCATTGTGTCGGTCTCCAGGGTAGCTTTACCAGTCTCATTAAAAAGGCTTAGAATCACTGAGTTTTGACTAGACTGCTCCATGTCCTTCTGGCTCTTTTGAAGTCTGAAATACAGATGTGATGTCCAGAGGAAGGGCAGCCAGGAGACGTGGATAAGGCAGGAAGTAGTGAGGGTGAGTGCCTGCATGCTAAGGCACACGGCCTGAGAACTGGGGTCTCTGCAGTGGCACTATTCTGAGGCCCAGATCCGGGACTCCCCACATTTACATCATCTCTCTGTCAAGGGATAAAAGTCTTCATTTCCTTAAGCCACTGTGCTTGGCTTTTCTACTTTTTTCCCCCCAAATGTATTTCTAACAGATTCTGACTCTCATGGGAGTCTCTCAGACGAGCTGCGGTGCCTTATAGGGATAAATCACTTTATAATTGCCCAATATTCTTTGTGTCTTTCAGAAACAAAACTTCAAATACTACTTTTTCCTTTAGGTCCTCTCAAGTCAGTATTTTGTGTTTCCCTTTCCTTCTTAAATATGTCCTTGCTTTTATTTTGTTGATGTAGATATGTGTTTTGTCTGTATGTAAGTTATGTGTACTATGTACATACCTATGGCTCTCAGCAGTCAGAGGAAGAGATCAGATGCCCTGGAACTGGAGTTACTGATAGCTGTGAGCCATCATGTGGGTGCTGGGAATCAGACCCACACCATCCGCAAGAATAGCCAATGCTCTTAATCACTGACTCATCTCTTCAGATTATATAACAAAAATTCAAAACACTCAAGGAGAGTAAGAAACAAATGCAAGAAAATGTTCAATTTCAACTTTTTTAATTGAAAAGAATAAATTTATGTTATAATTGTACTCATGTCAGTCACTCTCTGTCCTTCTTCAAGCATCAGATTTCACCCTATAAATGGAGTTTAATATAAGAAAGGCACTTGAGTTGGGTGGTGGCACACGCCTTTAATGCCAGCACTCAAGAGGTAGAGGCAGATGGATCTCTGTGAGTTCAAAGGGAGCCTGGTCTATAGAGCTAGTTCCAGGACAGCCAGAGCTGTTACATGGAGAAACCCTGTCTCAAAAGACAAAACAAAAGGAAGGAAGGGAAGAAGGAAGGAAGGAAGGGAGGGAGGGAGGGAGGGAGGGAAGGAGGGAGGGAGGGAAGGAAGGAAAAGAGAGAAAAGGGGGAGGAAAGAAAAAAGAAAGGAAGGAAGGAAGGAAGGAAGGAAGGAAGGAAGGAAGGAAGGAAGGAAGGAAGGAAGGAAGGAGGGAGGGAAGGAGGGAAGGAGGGAGGGAGGGAAGGAAGGAAAAGAGAGAAAAGGGGGAGGAAAGAAAAAAGAAAGGAAGGAAGGAAGGAAGGAAGGAAGGAAGGAAGGAAGGAAGGGAAACAAGAAAAGAAAGGCATTTGTTGAGTTAAGAGAATCAGAAATTCAGGGGCATTCTTGGCTATATAATGAATGAGGTTGGCACCAACCTGGTCTAAAACTAAAGTCAGGGAAAAGACTTTAAACTAAATATGATCTATGGAATAGATTTTCCCACCCTAACCCTGCTTTCCCCCCTGAACTATATAGCATTTTGTACAACATAATGACAAAAATAACATGATATTTCAAAAAGACATTGATTGCTTCAATAACTAGCAGGGGTTAGGGGATTACCCCTAATGGGCTCCATTTGTAATTTCTCTTCCCCTGCTTTATGAATTTATCACACAGGTCTCAAATTGGTGTACAACACACCAAATCTAGTTCATGAGGGGTTTTTTTGTTGTTGTTGTTGTTGTTGGACCTAAATAGAGTTTGTTGGGAGATATTCAATCACACTGTGAACTATTATGCATGTGTTAAATAAAATTAACCTTGGGTCAGGAGGCTGTGTTAGCGGCAAGTTGACAGAAAG